ACAACTGTATCTCCAGTGTCAAGTATTGGGAACTGAGGACCCATTCCACCCAGATACTGCAGATGATCCTTGCCAGACTACAACTGTATCTCCAGTGTCAAGTATTGGGAACTGAGGCCCCATTCTGCCCAGATGCTGCAGATGAACCTTGCCAGACTACAACTGTATCTCCAGTGCCAGGTATTGGGAACTGAGGCCCCATTCTGCCCAGATGCTGCAGATGATCCTTGCTAGACTACAACTGTATCTCCAGTGCCAGGTATTGGGAACTGAGGCCCCATTCTGCCCAGATGCTGCAGATGATCCTTGCTAGACTACAACTGTATCACCAGTGCCAGGTATTGGGAACTGAGGACCCATTCCATCCAGATACTGCAGATGATCCTTGCCAGACTACAACTGTATCTCCAGTGCCAGGTATTGGGAACTGAGGCCCCATTCTGCCCAGATGCTGCAGATGATCCTTGCCAGACTACAACTGTATCTCCAGTGCCAGGTATTGGGAACTGAGGACCCATTACACCCAGATACTACAGATGATCCTTGCCAGACTACAACTGTATCTCCAGTGTCATGTATTGGGAACTGAGGACCCATTCTGCCCAGATACTACAGATGATCCTTGCCAGACTACAACTGTATCTCCAGTGTCATGTATGGGGAACTGAGGATCCATTCCACCCAGATACTACAGATGATCCTTGCCAGACTACAACTGTATCTCCTGTGTCAAGTATTGGGAACTGAGGACCCATTCTGCCCAGATACTACAGATGATCCTTGCCAGACTACAACTGTATCTCCAGTGTCATGTATGGGGAACTGAGGATCCATTCCACCCAGATACTACAGATGATCCTTGCCAGACTACAACTGTATCTCCTGTGTCAAGTATTGGGAACTGAGGCCCCATTCTGCCCAGATGCTGCAGATGAACCTTGCCAGACTACAACTGTATCTCCAGTGTCAAGTATTGGGAACTGAGGACCCATTCTGCCAAGATGCTGCAGATGATCCTTGCCAGGCTACAACTGAATCTCCAGTGTCATGTATGGGGAACTGAGGATCCATTACACCCAGATACTACAGATGATCCTTGCCAGGCTACAACTGTATCTCCAGTGTCATGTATGGGGAACTGAGGATCCATTCTGCCCAGATACTACAGATGATCCTTGCCAGACTACAACTGTATCTCCAGTGTCAAGTATTGGGAACTGAGGCCCCATTCTGCCCAGATGCTGCAGAAGAACCTTGCCAGACTACAACCAGTTGTTTATAGGTATTTCATATTTTCTATGACCTCATATCAAACGCTGCCTATTTGACATCAACAACTTTCAAGGCCAACCTTAAATTAAGATCACAAGTATTTGAACAAAGGTTTACTTGAAACGTCAAACCAAGAAACCTGTGTGGAACAACAGTTGATATGATTATATTCAAAGCAAAGACAAATGTGTATATGAGTACGCATTTACAACCAATGGTTGTAGCCCCTCTCCCCCCTTTACCCCCTCCACCCTCCCCCTCTGTTACTCCTGTGAGGTCAAGTGCATCCAGCTGACTGGAACACTATAAATGCTGACAAAGGTGGCACTGGGCCAGGCCATGAAGCCTCTAGCTGAACAGTTATAACAACAGGGAACAAGGCAGGTAACAGTGTGATTTAGGATTACAAAACACCTTCACACTGTGCCAGTGATAACAATAAAGACCAAGAATACTTCCTTAATATGTTTATGTCACATCATGTTTGTTGTCTTTTTGTTATATAACTGAATGAATGTTGTTTGTTATTACTGCACAGTCATCAATTACACCTGAGATACACATCTACATATATGCACATTAGTGTGATATAAAATCACAGATTTAAGTAATATTTTTCAACTTAGTGCTTGTTCCAGGCAAACTTAGAAAAAAACACACACAAAAAAAAACTGGAATATTTCCATTATTATATTCCTAGGTTCAGAGGTATTATAATATTGTATTTAAAGCAATAATGTTCTACAGTTTAATTGTTTGTTGTTTAACGCCGCACTCAGAAATATTCCAGCTATATGATGTCAGTCTGTAAACAATCAAACAGACAATCCAGTGATTGACATCATGAGCATCAATCCATGCAAATGGGATAAGATAACATGCATCAACCAAGTCAGCGAGCCTGACCAACCGATCCTGTAATAGAGTATAGTGTGCACACGGGCATAATGCACCCCATCCCCTCTAGGGGATACTGTATTTGGGAGTGAGTGAGTGAGTATGGTTTCACGATGATTTCAGCAATATTCCAGCAATATCACGGCAGGGGACACCAGAAAATGGTCTTCACACATTGTACCCATGTGGGGAATCAACCCGGGTCTTTGGCGAGACGAGCCAACGCTTAAACCACTAGGCTACCCCACCGCCCCGTATTTTGGAGTGAGTGAGTGAGTGCATTTGGCTTAAGGCCGCTTTGAACAATAATCCATTTATATCACAGCATTTCAGTTTAATGTGGGAGGAAAGCTTGAAGTGATGCAGGTCTGAGATGTGAAACACACGAACACGGATATGAAACATAATAGGTACAAACCAGGATTCGAAAGCATGATCATAGGTTTCATGGACACACAGGGGACACAACTCTGCACAGCAAATTGTGGCGCCTTAGACGACTGGGCCGACCAGAATTTGAGAAAAAACAATTTTGACTATTATGTGCAGTTATGGGTAGTTATGATTATAATAACCTGCTTTTTAATTTTTAGACATTTGTTGTAAATTTGGGGCCAAATATCAGCCTCTGTGAACCCCAAGATCAAACCATGACAATATATCAATGCAAAAGATCAGAATTGCCTATTATCCTATATCCTCCCATATTACCTGTGCTTTCAGCATAATCTGCGCCTGGACCTATCCTTGTCACTTTAACATGTTTCATTGTAGAAACGTACGACTTGAGCCAGGTGCATGTTGGCAAGATGGCACATGTGAAACTACGCAGGTGAGTTTCAGTGTCAACACCTTCCAGTGCTCTGGTTCCTTGTGTCCGACATGGCACACCAAGCTGGCACCGTGCCAATCTGATATGTACATGTGCATATTACACACAACACAGGTGTATATATGTGTAGGCTCCCTTCTATTGCTAATGACAGGACTGTTCCAATTATTTGTAAGTCTACAAAGATGAGAGGCATTAGGTGCATTTTTATAGGAACATCATATTAAAATACTAGACTACTCATTTATATTTGATAAAAACTTAACTTAACTCTGATAAAATATACCAGTTCCTGTTTCATCTTCTAATAAAATATTCCATATCATGCCGTCTATAGTACAATTATAACATTCTACTTTCAACTTTTCTGTTTAATACAGTAAAACAGACAGACCAAGTGGTGTTCCTTGCTATGGACCTTATGGTAATTTGGAGACAGCCTATCCACCAGTACTTTTTACTCAAGATTTCGTGTCAGTTCAGTTAAGCTTGCAACACTAATTTAGGATAACTGAAATGCCTATACAAGTCAAAATGTCTGCACTAAAACATGGTCTTATGCAACTCAGAATGCCATGGAAATGCAAGGTTCAAATGCAGATAAAACAGTCCAAAAGGAAGCACAAAACAAAAGATTCTAAATGAAATAAATAAATCTTACCATTGGTTAGAAAAGTCCAAATTTTCTTGCTAAACACCAAGTCTATTACCATGATTAAACCTAAGTTATATCAGATGATATCTACAAAGTCTGACAAACCATTGTGTAGTTTGGCTGGTTCCTCACATTTCTCATCCACCATTCAAATCAAAATGAAATACCAGTGATGGGACAAGGTACCCCCGTTTAAGAAACAAAGGCAAGCAGTGATCAACTCTGTGTAAAAACAATCAACCCTGAACATTGCAACTTGACGGTTTGATCAGTTCTACTGCCACTATACGTTCAATGTCATACCCAAACTGTCGCATGTATCAGTGGCAATATTGATCACTGTTGGGACACTGTGAACTCTGGCTGACATCATATAGTTAGTTCAACAAAGAAACCAAAATACCAATGGTGAACACTTGTTGAGAATATATGAGACATACCAGAGGAGCTTTGGGCAGGTCAGTGATAACAATTGATTTAACACGATGATTAGTTTTGACAAGAACATAACATATTTTTGAAAAGCATGTATATGTATATCATCTTCTGGAATGCTTTATTTATGAATATCATAACAATTTCCCCCTTGGCCTCACTCATAAGTCAAGAAATCTGTAAGTGAAGAATGTTTTAGTTGAAATTGATACTAACAAGACAAATTGTTGAAAAAGAAAGTATAAACTCAAAAATTGGATTTGACCAAAAAAATACAAACAATATCAAAATGTTGCTAGTCTGACAGCCTTCACCGAAACCTAAGGTCCAAAATTGTTATACCTGTAACAAATACATCACCATCAAATAACCATTTCTTGATTGTTTCATTTTCAGCCCCCATCAAACATGGGTATACTTCCTGTTGCCTGGCATCTTACTCATGAAATCCCTCAAATTTGTGTATTCTGTTTGAGACCATTGAGAATAGAATATTAGTTCAACCCTAAAATATGTACGTCTGAGAACAGTTATATTATACACTATCATAGGGTAGGATCATAGGGTAGGATCATAGGGTAGGATCATAGGGTAGGATCACAGGGTAGGATCACAGGGTAGGTTCACAGGGTAGGATCACAGGGTAGGATCATAGGGTAGGATCATAGGGTAGGATCACAGGGTAGGATCATAGGGTAGGATCACAGGGTAGGATCATAGGGTAGGATCATAGGGTAGGATCATAGGGTAGGATCATAGGGTAGGATCACAGGGTAGGATCATAGGGTAGGATCATAGGGTAGGATCATAGGGTAGGATCATAGGGTCTATACCACGTAATACCACACCCTGGCTGAAATGAACAACATAAATGTCAGTCATACTACATTATTGACAGCTATATCTTACCTTTCATTGTGACAAACTACTTCAACCTCAATATGCTGACTTCTAACAGTTATTTTTTCAAACTTGCTTTGAAATGAAGGTAGAATCAGTGTGTATAGACGCACTGCAGTAAACAGTAACATACATTTACACTTGACAATCAGCTGGGAGACTCCGAAATGATCACAACAAAGTCAAACTTGGCATGATGCCAGGGTCTTTGTCTGGTTGTTCAAGCTACCCATGTGAGCTAGCTCTTGCCATGTGGTCTGTACTGGGACAAAGATAATACATTGAAGTGTCAAACTGATCGTTTATAATGGAACTATAAACACAGGGGGAACTTCGGAATGACCAGTGTGGCCAGCCGTCAGATGTGTTGGACTGATATAGAAACAACTGGACAGGACTTTGTATGATTTTCTTGCCTAGTAGTAATAGTAATACATGGAAAATAATATTATTATTACTGTATTAGAAGTAATAGGAGCCCAGGGCGCCGTCAAAATTAGGGCGAAAGATAAATTTTGTGGTTTATGCTGACAGCCCAGGGTTAGAAATTGGCACTAGTCCTATTGTCCTTGCAAATCTGCCCAATAGTTAAAGTATCATAAGGACTAGTAGATATTTTCCATTTTTAGGGGTTTTGCTATACATTATCATTATAAGGACTAGTGGACCAAAAATGTTAGTTTCTACCGCTGCAGACTGAAATACTTACATACGACAGATATATTTTTCCAGAATTTAATTGCCCATAATTAAGGGTGCATATAACACACGAGTGCGTATTACACGCGAATAAATAAGTCTTGTGTACATAGATCAATTGGAAGGGTGCTAATTGGGATTGTTCACTAGCCAATATATAAGCAAATATCGCCGTGGGCGCTTATTAGAGTGGGGTGATTATTACGTCCAATACGGTATTGATAATAAAAATAAAATAAATCGCTTACAAAACCAAAATGCACAAGAAGAAGGCATGCTCAAAACATGTATTATCAACAGCTTAATTCATTTGTTTGTTGTTTAACATTGCACTTAGCAATATTCCAGGTATACGACGGTGGTCTGCAAATAATCATGTCTGGACCAGACAATCCAGTGATTGACATCATAAACATCAATCTATGCAATTAGGATACAATGACAGGCATCAACCAAGTCACTCAGCCTGACTACCAGAGTGAGTGAGTGAATGCGTGTGTGTGGTTAATGCTTCACTCAGCAATACTCAGCTATATAATGGCGGCCTGTCAACAATCGCGTCTGCACCAGACAATCAAGTGATTGATAGCATGAGCAAGGTCAGAGGAGGAATCCATGCCAGTGTAGGTTGAAACACCATCAAGCAAGTCATCGAGACTGACCACCAAGTCTGTTGCCTTACGACCTGCATAGTTGTCTAGGAACACAACAGTTCTCCATTTAATCACCTATTACAATTAACAATGGGGTGCTGGGGACACATTCTACCAAGATCCACAAAAGTAATGTGGCCAGTGTTCGCCCTGGCTTTTGAAACTGCCAGTCCTTGTGGACTGATAACTCTAAAAATTACCAGTCCCCCCTAATTTTTGCCAGTCCCCCAAAACGTATGAAAATTATTTGGTTTTAATTCTTTCAACTCCATGTTCAGTGCAAAGATGTCATCTCTGAAGTAACTTAGTTAGATCTATATGTCATTCACACAAACTCAGTCACAATTTTCTCTTTGTTTTTTAATATTTTAAGACGAAGTCGCTACAACTGGATATTTAACCTAGAAATAGACAAGGGGAAGCTGACTTTGTTCGAAAAATGTACTTATATGAATATCGCCAATTTTTTGTTCAACAACAAAGATTTCTAAGTACTTTATTTGCCGGTCCACAGGGACTGGCAGTCTCGTGAATTACCGATCAAGGCCTAATTTTACCAGTAAAAAAATGGTAATTATCGGAAAACGAGAACACTGTGTGGCCTAAAATACCACTCACTCACTCACTTTATTTACCTAGCATTGCCCCAACAACAATAACATGAAAATCCCCTTCAGCCTTGGAAAGAAATTTCATTTCTAAATCTGCTCATATCAATACATAGGTCCAAGTCCACAGCGCTATAGATTATTACCTACTGGGAAATCCATAGGTGGCAAGTGTACATAAATCCTGACTCTAATGCTGAATTGTCCATGACACACAACAGCAGTTTTATATCAAAGTTCTCCAAGTAACAATGGACTTTGAAGTCTACCTACGTAGGTAATGTACACAATAGAATTGACGTTTTATGCTCTCCCTGAAGAAATGCTGGTTTGCAATTTTAATAAGTATGTAACCATTTAAATACACATACACAGCACCAAATGTGAAATTTGATACCTGTGAGTTTGTGACTTGATTAGGCCAGTCCAAAAATATTCTTGTTACTCATGACCTTTTTAAAACTTAGTGATAGGGGAGGATTTTGGCTCTATATTTTACTTCTTTTGTACTTCACGAATCTATAAAAATAAACTTTATTTTACAAGCCACGCAACCTCTTTTGGCTACGTTCCATGCAGCTCAGATCGAGGTGCAAAAAGTCAGAATCTGACACATAAACAAACTAACTTAGACTTGAAGTAATTTCTTAACGATGCTTAAAAGTACAAAAATATTAAGGGGGGAGGGGGACAATTTTATTGAGGGGGCAAGAACTTAAGTTTGTTAGAGTTATTCTTATTGCCATTGTGAACAATATTATAAGAACCAGAGGTCAATAGTATGAGCAATGTTCACGTCATCAGGGGAGGAGGACACAAGGCCTGTCCTTGTGATCAAACCTTCCAATCACAAGGGTGCCAACCCCCCTTCTCTAGGCATCTGGCATACAACTTTATTTGTCTTGGCAGCAAATTTAAGCACTTCTGAGCCATATCTTAACTAGGATAAATATTTGATTGATTTGTCACTTTACAAGAAAAAACGAAAAAATCTGTGATGCAAGAAATAATGGCCTTGCAATGCTTACAGATTCACTTGTTTTGGTCTCAGTTAACATCAGAACAATATTCAGTTTATTTGCAATGCGCTTATTATGGTGAATACAGTATTGCCTACAGGTCAAATTGCAAACTGACTAAGCATGATATAGCAGTTAGAATTTATTTTGACAAACACGTCGCCTTTATCTCAAAAACAGTGTGATATCAAAATACCATGAAAATAGGATTCCCATGGAAGCAGATGACAGGACAGTATCCGATTATTTTTAAAGATTTCATACAAAACTAAAATTGAAAATACATGTAGTAACCTTAACTTATACAGATTTACACTGTTCTATTATATCCTCGTGTTATGGGTTTTCGAGCGCCTAAGAAATATTTCTGATTATGTGTCTAATAACAATCCCAATACACTAAAATTAAGTTTGTTTGTTTGTTTGTTTGTTGTTTAATGTCGCACTCAGCAATATTCCAGCTATATGACGGCGGTCTGTAACATAATCCAGTCTGGACCAGACAATCCAGTGATTGACATCATGAGCATCGATCCACGTAATTGGGATTGATGACATGTATCAACCAAGTAAGCGAGCCTGACCACCCTATCCCTTTAGTCGCCTTTTACGACAAGCATAGTCGCCTTTTACAGCAAGTATGGGTTGCTGAAGACCTATTCTATCCCGGAAGTAAAATTAAGTCTCAACTTTGATAACATCTATTTCCGTTAACACTTGGATGGTCAAATGACCATGTCTTGTTAATTCTATAGTGATAATGCCTCACCAAGAGAGACGAGTCGATCAGTCGTCATCTTGTTATCGTCACCTGATTTTGAGCCCCTCCATTACAGCCAAGTTAAAAATAGATGATCAGTCACATGACGTTAGAGGCAGGAAGTTTACAAACAGCGGCTGATACATTATCGGTTCATATGATTGTTCCGATCCAAAATCAATCATTAAAATAAGTTAGATTAATATATGCATTAAAAAGTAATTTTTGAAATATGTTTTCCTTACTCATTGAATATCTTCCCCAACGTAGCTTAATTCGTAACATAACTTCTGCGGCAAGTGACAAACACTTTGCTATCTTCAGAGGGCTTTGGCACGTGGTGACATATTGTTTAGGGGCTCAAAAAAAGGTGAGGCTCCAAAACATGTCACGTGGGGATATATGGTTTTTTTCAGAGGAAAGGGAAAAACACATGTAGTAGTGAAGTCTGGTTAAGCTATAACAGCTGTGTGAGTGTAAGAAATCTGTATTATCAGTACTGATTATACTGTCGATGTTTATCTGTAGATGATTAGAGACAATCGTTTCATAATTCTGCAACATATATCTTGAATATAAATCAAATCCTAATAATGCCTACAAGAAATCTACAACAGGATATATTTACTTTAAAGAAACTTTTAAGGCCATATCTCATCACAGAGAACAAAATCTAGTTTGACTGTAGACAAAATATTACCAGGTGAGCTCACAAACATTATAGCATCTTATGAGAACTACTCACGTCAATGTACCAAATATGAGAAAATAATTGCAAAATATAACTATAAAATACAGCGACAATAACTAGTGACAAAAACACATAAAAAGTAACTAATTTGGTTCAACAATCGATCGATCGGCCCAACTCATTTGTCATGGAAAAGTCAGAACAGTTGAGGACAATGTCAGGATCAGTGGGTCGGCCTATCCTTGGAAGTGCCTCTCAATACACACATCGAGATCAGACTCGCAACTGTCCGTAACGCCTCCTTATCATTACTCTATCTTTAGTCATAACCACCCAGTGTCATCAATAATTAACGTCACTTACTTACATGCCGCTAGGTCAAGTGCATCTCATCTCCCGCTATTGTTTACATGCAACCTGGTAACAGGAATCCTTTACGACGCCATGTTGTAATTTATGTCACGTGACCACGCGCACCGGTTTCCAGGATGGTTATTTTACGGGCGCTTCTCATGGTAAGAACAGGCGTCATCTACGGTGTCATATTGCATTTATGTTAGTTTTTAAGCAGAACACTTCCGCCTATTGGTACAAAGTAGTAACTACGAAGCGTCAGTGCACTAGTTCTTCACTTTCGTGCGGTGTAGTTTTCACAAGGACGTTTTAGATATTTGCTATAGTAGTATACTGTCAGAACTGTGTACAAATGTGTCACCGTTGCTTTTTGCGCAATGACAGAAACTCGTATTGTTTGAC